GCCCTGACCGTGCATGCCCTCCCTGAGTACTAATCGATTATCATAGTTAGAAATCATCTTCAGATCACTGGCTAACCAGCCAATCATGACAAGCAACATAACTGCTGATATACTCAATAAATATCGTGTTTATGGTGTTAATCATTTTTAAAAGCAACCGGCATGTAAGGTTGCCTCCAAGACACAATGTTATGAGAAGAAGAGTTTCCCAGCAACCGTTAAAGGGTTACATAAATGTGCTAATATAGGAATTCTTATAGTATGTTCAGAATTATGTTTACCAGCAGAGCTGAATCGATTAGTCCGAATTTGTTAATGAGTTTTTTATTTATTTATTTAACATACATACCATTCCCTATAGGTTTCTGATTTGTAAGTATTTGCTGCGTGTCGTTGTCTTATGTAACGTTAATGTATAAATTGAATATATTTAGTGTAAAACACGCCGTTATATTGGGTTATAAGAAATTACAATGGGCGATTTTCGCTATTGCACTATTGCCTACTGGGCAAATGATTAATCGATAATTAAACACCCCCCCCCCCCACACACACACACACACACACACACACACACCTTTTACAGTTGCATTGCAATATAGGCTGCAACTTCCCACCAAACTGAACACCTGTCCCGTTCATTGCCCTGCCTGCCGTTACGTGAACTTTGAGTAACTAGTCAATAGTTGGCAAGAAAAAAAATGCATTAAGTGACCGAATATTCAGCAGAACTTATAGAGAAAGACAAATCGCCATACGTAAATGGTGACGAAGTTGCAGGACGGACGCTTGCTGCTTTCCTTGCCTAACGTTACTTGTGCAACTCAAAAGCGAAACAGCGATCAGACATTTCGAAGCCAAAATTATTATTATTTTTGTTCCTCTTACCTTTTCCGCCGAGAGCGCAGGAGTGGCCCAAAATGAGCCAAAACAGCAAAAAAGGGACCCCGAGTATCTGCATGTTTGTCGAGCAGTGTGGGTGATGTCTCTCCGTCCTCTCCTCTTCCGAAATCCTGGATCACCTCCCAAGCGCGCAAGGATGATTTCAACTGGTCGGTCGCGGGAGGGATAGTGGAAAGGTAGAGAGACAGTCATGGGCACTGTGGGCAAAGAGAGAGAGACATACTGACGTTTAAACAGCGTCAATGAAACAAAGTTTCCGGTTTTTTAGTATTCAAAATAAAACACAATCGACTGTTAATCTTGAATAATGTCAAATACAGGTATCAAAACAAGGAAATATTTATAAACAGTGACAATTTTAATTTTCTAAAATATATGTTCACACTCTAATGATTATGGGTGCTCTAAAAAAAGGTTTCCCCCAAGTATGACAAATTGTGCACATTTATTTTGAAGAATAAAAGCGTCCTTTCTGGGCAAAATCTGCCTTTGTTTGGCGAACTTGACATAGCTGTTAATGAGACAGAAGGGGCTAGTAATAGAGAGGAGGGGATCTGTCCGAGATGAGTGTGAGTGTGAATGTGTTGGTAGTTTGGTGTTAAGAGAGGAAGGTGATTGGCTTGGAGAGGGCTGCTGTAACCGAGAATTTGCAGTCAGTGATTGCATTCCTCTACAAGAATACAGCTACTGTTATTCAATCGATTCAATAAACCCTAAGCTATGGCAAGGACACCAGGTGCTTACCACAATCCCAGAAAATAAAGTAAAGGGTGATTTTCTTATGGGAGCTAGAGGATCACACAAGAAACATTAATTCTCCTGTGATTCACGCTTTTCAACACATGAAACAGCTTCCAAATCAGTGTTTTCCAACCTTTCGGCTTGCAATCCCTTAAAATTAAAGCAATGTCCACCACTGTCTGAAGAGGTTGTGTATGAGTATGGATAACTAATCAGACTATCTCTTCATTATTTTCAAACTAACATACTTATTATCGTAATAATAAAAGATGTAAGATTACATTTGATTCTAGAATTTATGGAAAGCTCAGATTGTGTTTAATTTGACTTTAACTTCAGGGTCAAAGCAGCTCCTATAAAAGCTCCTGGATAATGTCGACCAATTCATATTCTTTACATTAAAAAAATATCAAATGACTTATGTGTATCGTGAAAGAGCCACACTGATGTCTGCTGATGTCCAATTGCTGGCAATTTTGATATTTAGATTTTAGACTCAGCAACCAATTTGCATCCTTGACGCACATTCTCCATTAATGTCCAGTTTGAGTTAGGCTACATTTGGAACATGTAAAACAAAACACTTTCATTAAGAAGATGAACTGTGTATTTTCATTTTTATTTTCTTACAGCGATACTCCTTTCATATTCAATTGAAGCAGCTGCTGCTGTGATGTTTTCCAGCTGTATCCTCCTAACAAGAGCCCACCGCAGATTTGAGACTTTCAGTTTTCCCCCTGTGGCAGATTCACTGGTTTTCTGAAACGGCCGTATGTTCTTCAATTATTTTCCCATGCTTCTTTGTGTGTTGTGTGTGGGTGTGTGATCTGGGGATTAGAGAGAGAGAGAGAGAGAGGGCAGACCTCAAGTGAGTTAAGAGGATAACAAAGACAGAACAGACAAATACACACACACACACACACACACACACACACACACATGCAGACAAACACATGCAGGACCACATTCACATGTGCACACAGTCACTAACACACACACATACTCCCAATTGGCTGTTTCCATGGGTAGTGCCAGCTAAGTTACAGCAGAGCAGTGACGGAAGAAAATATTGTCCTTCTACCAAAGCCATCAGCTCAGCAATCATTCAGGACAGGTGACATACGGAGATATTCACTGTGGCATCACTGCTTGTTCTGTTTTTGACAAGTACACATCTTACTCTCAACATTTCACACAAATGGGTAGGCTGTCTGCCTTTTTGGCTTTCCACTTCTGGGAGCTCTTTTCCTGTCTATCTGCACTAACTCTGGTGTGGCATCACATATTATTGGGTAAGACTCCAACTCCTCTGTGGTGGTATGGAGGTAGTTGTGGATTTTAACTGATACAGACTGAGCAGTAAAATCAATAACAAGTTTTAGCCCAGAAATATGACAGTATTTGACTTCACAAAGACAAAATGAGGCATGCATGCACACATTCTTTTGTACCAATACTTTAAATGCAAAAGGCCTCTGTAACCCATAGTTCATTGACGGGTTCAACTCTGACAATAACTGCACTTACAAAACTATAAAATATGTGAAAAGGGTTGTTTGTGCATGCATACCCGGTGTGCACACATGTGCAATTCTTGCAGCCATAACTGTATACACTGGGCAGTTTACTGTATTTTCGTGGTGTCTACCAAAGGTCTGTGAAATGAAATAGCCTTTACAGTACTTGAACCATCGCATTCTTTCAATGTTATCCATGTACCTCTGCGACAAAGAAGAGTTATTGGAAAAGCCAATTGCCGTACAACCAGACAGTCAATTAGTGTTCGACAAAGTTGCTCCTTTCCATCTGACAAGCAGTTAGCAACAATGGAAAGAAAGGTTACCAGGAGCACATATAGCTGTTTGATGTTGCACTGCTGTAAAGGTCAGCTTATATGATTCCAGAAGGTTTCTACCCTTATCCACAGAGGCACAAGAACGTATTGAAATTCTGTACAACAATGTAATGCTGGTCGCAAATAAATAGCTAATGCATGACAACTATGTCGGGCTATTTGCATTTCAGCACCACGGAGAGCTCCGTCACTTTGCTCAGAACGCCCTTCTTCCACCAGGGGTCGCACTTCAGTCCGTTTTTCTCTGCGGAACTATCGAGCAACAGCCTCTCAGAACGAGGGAGTGGAAAGAGTGTGACACACTTACCGAACAGTAATGTGAAACGAAGGTAAACCTATTATTTGTCATTCCTACCTTTAACCGTTGTGTGTTTGGTTATATGACCGTTACGATGTACGACTTTTCAGCGTAATCTATCCGTTCACTTGAATGTGAGGTGGTCGCGTAGTTTGGTGTGCTAGGCTAATTAATGTTAGCTTCTAGTTCAATGGCAAGGCTCCGTTGACTGAGCGATGTGGGCATCTGTTTGAGCTGTCCTCTGACGTAAATTGCGCTGTAACAGCTCCCAAAAACCACAGCAACCCATAGTTTCTAAATTACCTAAATTAGCATCAAAGCAAAACAAGCGAGGGTCTCTTTCTCTGTCGCACATAGCAATTAATTTCGCTCTAGCTTCATGTCATGTTCACATAAAAACTCCGGTAAAATGCCATCACACTTATTCTTGCCAGGTTTCTAACTGCTTTGAGTGTCCCAATGATGAATGAGCAGAGCATGCCTATGCTGTGGCACCTATACTAACGCCTTTCTCATACATACTTTCCCCACAATGTTAATTACTCTTTCTTTTGCTTTCCCCCCCAAAGGTTCTCTGACAGTGGTGCGAGGGGTAAACTAAAGATGGCCAGCCGCCGTGTTCCACTAGTCTTGCTCGCCTGCGGCTCCTTTAATCCCATCACCAACCAGCACATGAGGCTGTTTGAGCTGGCCAGAGACCACATGCACAGCACAGGTCAGATCCAGACATTGGCCATAAAAGAACAAATTTGGTGGCATCTGGCCCATTGCAATCTCTATTCCATAATATTCACTGATCTTAATTATTGCATCATCTAATGAATTTTGCCTGCCCGGTTGTAGACATGTAGTGAATTACTGTAAAGGAAAACGAGGCTTCTTCGTCTGTGAATAGCTGTTAGTATTTATAACCACACTTATTCCTGACTGGTCAGAACTTAAGAATTAAGAATCATAAGACCTGATTTATTATTTTTAATTTATTTATTGACACCTTCACTATAAGGTTTATCGAAACATGCCACCATGATGGATCATGTTTTGTTTAACTAGAAACATAAATACACTCATATTAAAACGAAATAGAATAAACATAAATAAATATGAAATAAACCTATGCCAGCTTGTTCATATACCGTATATTACTGCTGGAAGTTTCATTACATCATATTTCATTTTTAAAACATGATTTGGGGCATGTGACATACGTTTGCATAATTAGTCAATGGCAAAAAATACAAAAGTGTTCTAGGACGTTTTAAACTGTAAACTTACATCATCATGCTCGCATTGTTTTGAAGCTGAGGCTAGTGGTCGCCACATGTACACGCACAGCGAACAGGAACCTGTTAACTAAAACTATTTTATCAGAATCTAAATTTAACATAATAAATTAGTCGGCTGTTTGGTCGGCAGCCGGCACTTATGGAAAGCTCGGATTGTGTTTAATTTAACCAATTAATATTCTTTATATTAAAAAATTATCAAACTACTTATTTCTATTGCAAGAGAGGTATCTGCAGAACTAGAAAGCTTTTTCGACTCTCGCTCATTGTTTTTCTTTTACGGTCCACAAGTTTATTGGTTCCTCACTTTCATCAGCCTTGTTACCAGCAGCAGCTGTTTACAACCAACAGGCCCCGATAAACCTTCTGTCTGTGATCTATCCAGCACCAGACAGCAGACACACAGAGTTAGAGACGAGCTGGAGAAGAAAGTTGAGCACCTAGCAAGTTAAAGATGCAGATATTTGTCTCAGGATATTTGGTTCAAAGGAGAATAAGGTTGCCATAAACAAGCTCTAAATGAATGCTAAATGTCTTCTTGATGTGACAGTCGGCTATTTTCTAGCACATTAACCGTAACAACTCTAAAAATAATAAGAGGGCTTTGTGTTTCAGCTTGTTGGGAAGCCCTCCTGTGGCCCAAATATCAATTAATGCAGCTTTAAACACCCCACGTTGTTGTCTGTTTGAACAACAGACAACAAGGGGAATCAATCAAATCATTTCATTGATCGTTTACAAGTATAAAAATGATTATATATATATATATATATATATATATATATATATATATATA